CCATAAATTATAATTCTTCAGTAAATTATGAGAATGTTATGGGAATTTTAAAATATGAAGGTGCAAAAGCGAAAGCTCCAACTTCAAAACCTTATCCATTAAATGCATCAGAGGAATGTAGAGATGTGAATCCAAACATTTTAAATCCATATGACATAAAAACCACCTCAATGTGTTACTCATAATATCCATATAATGGTCTCTTTTGGCAAGTTAGCGACAACTGGATCACGTCCATATATTAAATATAAAAATTATGATTGGTTGCTAATTAGATAACAGAAGGGGAGAAGGTACGACCTTATAATAAAAAGAAATTATATAATAAGCGGAACTTCCCTTAATAGAACATTGTCTAGGATAAAATATGCACGCTATTTTATCGCTATGAATAAATTGTATACTTGCTGGTAATTTAAAGTGAAAAAAATAAAGCAACATTCAATAGAGTCCTATTGACAATGTGTGTCATCATTTTACGAAACGGATGTCATAATTAATAATAAGACCGCATGTACTCGTAAAATCAAAATTTTTAACTTGGTGCCATGATAAATACCTACGTTCGAAATTCAGTGTGACCAGAAATTTCATGTGACAAAGATATGATCAACTCATGTGAGATGAATCAAATAATCAATCTCCACAATGTAATTCAAAAATAGAATATATATTTTAAGCCAAAATATTTTTTATACAGTACTTTATTTTATGCATGTTTTTTAATTACACTACCAATCCATTAATCTACAAATTTATAAATTCATACATTTATCACAATCTAACTTGCGCAAAATGCAAAGTCATCCTCTGGGACTGTCATATTCTTAATTTTCGATGGTAATTCAATTAATTGTAAGGCCATGCCTTTGATTAAGTGCCAATGCATATGACAATGCATTAACCATACTCCAGGATTGTCTAGATGGTAACGGATTACTGTTGTACTGTAAAATAAATGAAACAGTCATTAGTTTTAAAATAATCTCATGAACCAAGTAAGCATTTAAAATATCTAAAGTACCTATTTCC